ATCTGGTCCTTAGTTTCAAGTTTGATTAAACAGAGTCTCCGGACATCTCTTCATTCAGAGTACCCAGTTATGAACTGTAACTTTGAACACAAAACAGCAAACACCAGCCTTGCGCTTCAGGAATCATTAATAAGCTGGGAAATGTTGACAGAGTTTCGCATCCAGAATTGAGTCTACACGAAGTACCGTCAAGTACTACACTGTAAATCCAGTGGAAAACAACCAGTGGACGACACCAAATTTCAATGTGTGGCCCTCGAGTTAATTTAAAGGACGAGCCAGACATTTATTTGAAATTTCAGATTCACTAATTTCGTCTCAAGGAGTTTCTTACTGGCACTGATATTCATTTACCGCGGTTGTATATATATTATTAAAAACGTAAATTCTTTCCTATAAAACTAATCACACTGTGTAGTATCATAAAATGTAAGTCGAAAAAATATTCATTACAATATTTTTATCTGCATTAATGTAGTTTTGTAATTAAGAAAATGGCATGAAAATTTATTTTAAAAATATTAAGTTGTACTTCTGTCATTGTTTGACCAAAACGTATATAAAATAAACTCTTAATGAAGAGGCCGTTTCCACGAGTTTCATCTCGAAAATTACGAGACGGATTTTAAATAAGTTTGGAATTTGTGTCCTTCAGTAAAAATTGTTGAAGGAATTTAATTTTTGTTCATATCGGTTTTATATAAACCCTACTAGACTTGCTATACATGTAATGCGCAACAAAGTGGTCATGACTAAAAAGTCTCACTGTATTTACTAAGTGAAATAAATCAACGCCAGGACTTTCAATAATCAGAACTGTCGTTATCAAAGTAATAAGAAATTGAAGGAACCGAATGAGATAGCATTTACACTAAGCAGGATCAGTGTACCATGTTCGACAGCTGGGTTCACGAAATTACCTCCAGAAGTGCAGAGGTTCAGACGGGGTACAGTTCGAGTTTCGGCCAGAGACCGATCTTACTAAGCACATATTTTAATGGTTCAAAAAGTCATAAAATAGCCCACGATCGCTTCTTCTCCCATTCCAGTTCTCATCTCTCATTCACAATGATCCTACAAAGTTTCATCAGCTCTGTGTACATAAAATCACTCTGAAAAATCTGAAACGAAAACAAAGACACAGAGCTTAGTAGCTATGCGAGCTCTACTTGAGTAGAGCAAATACTTGAAGAATGGCAAATACTCAGACGCTGCTCCATCATAAAAGCGAAGTAGCACGGTCCTCTTCCACCGCTCATACGGAATTTCCGAATCTTCGGTTAAAACTTTAAGTCAAAACAGAGACTTTAAACTGTACATATAAAGGACACTGTTAGTCTACTAGTTACTTTCACAATTCTGTATCAATTCATTACGTTGTATATCGTCGTATGACTCGTATTGTTCACTTACTGGTTTTAACACTCGTTCTTTCGGTTACTGAAACTTTCTGATAGGTTAGGAAGCTGATTTGCGTGTATTTTCCGGAGTTTTGTGAACGGTATTATTATTATTATTATCCCATCTCTTCACCACTTTATGGGGTATGTACTTCCATGTACCCGAGACAGACCTTGTCCCTAAGGTACATAGGGCAGCAGCTATTTCCGGAATACATTTTGTTTTTAATATGTATTACATGTATTATATAATTTTATTTTATGAAAGCGTCTTTCGGATGATTTATTATTATTTTATTAAGGGTATTAAATAAACTACAATCAGGCAAGCGAAGTATGCAGGGTATGGGGTTAATTGAGAAATTCATAAACGCTTTATTTGAAAACCTAAAGAACAAAGTCCACTTGTGAGACCTACGAGCGCATGGAACGATATTACAAAGGATTTTATATAATTAAGATGTGGAGGTGTGAACTGGGTTCACGTGGCTATGAATAGAGTGCTATGGCGTGCGTCAGTCATTTCTCAGAAATATAATTTATACTTCTTTGGAAATATTGCGGTCAATCTGGGTGTCCACTCCCTCGAATTCACTGGCAGTAATCGGATGTGAAATTCTATGCTTCCATTCAATAATAACCGCAAGTTATTCCGATTCGCTGCCGGACCAGAGACTCAAACCTGTGTTTTCACAATAAACTTCCCTGATCGATAACCTAACTGTTCATAAAAAAATGAACATTTTGTAAAGGAACATGGGCGGTGGAAAGGTGGGGCTTGGCGTGTTCGAACCGAGTTTGTAAACCATCCTCTACCCTCGCAGCACACAGCAACTGACTATTTTCAACCCCATCCGCCCTTCATCCACCCTTAGCTAACTTCTTTGTTAATGTAGATGTGAAGGGACCCTTGTCTTGAACTTCTTGTTACGCTAAGCTACACCCAATCTGCCCACTACAGCGCCAACTTGTCATTTCTTAATGAATACAAATGCCACATTAATCTCTGTTCCCATACAACTACGTCCAGACTTCCAATAACTGATTATCGTACCTAAGTACATCCATACCGGAGTATGAATTGTCGTGGAGTCTGCCCTGTGATCACTGGCATTTAGTTTAGGTAGTTTAAAACAGTGTTCCGCAACTGCACAAAGCTACAGTTCAAGAATATCGAAAATGCTTTTAATTCAAACGAGTTTCTGCACAACTAAGAATAGTCCACACACTTTGATGACAGCACAGAGCTAAAAGTTGTTCGGTTGTTAATTGTTGCTGCCATTACATTGACTGATAACCTGTTTTGTACCTATTAAAACCGTCTGTCTGTCTGTCCGTCAGACCCACGTAACTACTCGAGAGTCGCTGAACAGATATTTATTAAATGTTCATTAGTTTTATTAAAACTTGAAGATTTCTGTCTTCTGTGTTGTTGCGCTGTGTAGTCTGGTCGATGTTTACCAACGTTTCAGAGGTCATACTGCCGCCATCATCAGGGCGATGAGTATGAAGATTTCTGTCTTCTGGGTTGTTGCCCTGATGACGGAGGCAGCATGACCTCTGAAACGTTGCTTAACATCTACCAGACTATACAGCGCAACAACCCAGAAGACAGAAATCTTCAGACACACCGCTGTGAAAACCTCAAATCTTACTTAGTACAATTTGTCATCACATTCCCCTTTTGGTTATAATCGACAACAATAACAGAAACTTTACATCAAGGTCCATACCCGCTTCTACGCGCGTAAGTGACCTTGGTGAAACACCAGCAAGATACCCGCCCACGCAAAGTGAGAATCCCTTACGGTAATTGGTACCTAAATAAACAAGGAGGTTTTTTCATAAAACGAACCCAGAAAAACACGAGGTGAAAAACTTTCCAAGATTCAACTAGCTCAGAAAATACTCAAGTGGAGGACTTTAGTGAATACGATTATGAACTTCTTACTCAAAAGCAAGAACGAAAGTTTAAAAGGGCACTGCATACAGAATTAGTACCATGCATTCACTGACAACCGTTTCCTGACTACAATACCAAGTGTCTGAACTAAATGAGAAGTGAGACTTCCGTGTTATCTTTTTTTAATATCAAATCCTTGTTTTGTATTTTCACACGACAGACGAAAAAAATAAAAAAAACAACTAACACAGTTTAGTATCATTAGCATGAAGTGCCTGCAGTTTAGATTTAACTCGCCAGAGTACGTTAAGGATGCCTTTTGTTTCAGAGGTTTAGGCAAATGAAGGTTCTTTTGTTGGCTACGTGGCATCGTGCAGCCGTTATCTGTAACCCTCAGGCTTCTCACACTGCAAATCCTAACCACTATAAATTAGAGCACACAGCAAATAGCGAATTATAGTTAAAAAGGCGGCTAATAAGAGAGTGAAAATGTACTCAGCGGGTTGTTTGAGATTTCGTAGACCTCAGTAAACTGTGCTTTATTTCATATTTATGTACTTAAATTCTTGCAACTCTAATAAAAAGCAAAGATATGACGCTCCATTACAATACAACGGAACTTCCCTTGTGCGTCGTCAAACAGCATTACATATGAAAAGTTTAAAATGAATTTCTTTAGAAATTAATTGATAACATACGTATTCAAGTATTTTTTGTGCGGTGAGAATGATAGTAAATAAACTTATTTTTTTTAGACACGCAACGTCATATGAGGAAATTCTAGATAAAAAACAAAAGATTAAAAACGTTTAATTACATTAATGGTTCCGTAGAGAAAACACTACAGAAAGAATTAAGGGAGGAGACAATTTAAAAATGTTATAAATTATTCTATAGAAATGAAACTTGGATAATGTGGGAGAGATACAGAAGTAGGCTTCAGGCAAATGAAATGAGATTTCTCAGAAGTGTGAAGTGTGGATGCAGGAGATGGCGGCTAAATCACGAAAGAAGAAGAATAAGAAGAAGAGAGCATTTATATAAGTTTCGCTTTCAGCGTTCAATCTTCACGAGATACTGTTAGGATGATCACATCTTGGACAATGAAATAGGCGGGGGTTCGAAGCATTCATGTACGAAATGAGAAATGCACACAAAATCTGCGGTGGAAAGTGATCAGACCAATCAAGAGTCCTAGAATAACAGGGGATGATGCTGATAATATCATGGGAAAATATTTTATATGGGTTGTGAATCTGGCTCAGTATAGGGATCACTGAGAGGCTCTTGTGAACGCGGTAATGAACCTTCGGATTCCGTAAAGGTGGGGAATTTCTTGACTAAATGAGCGACTACTAGTTTCCCAAGAAGGACATTTCTCCACGGAGTTGGTTATTTAGCTTGCTTAAAGCGTTACAAGAACCTAAAGAAATTTTTACGCACGACCAACCTAAATCAAAATAAAATTCTCGCGATAATTCATAATGTAACTCGCCAGTACTAGATTTAATTGAAATCCGTTGAACAGTTTCGAAAATAAAGCATGTGGACAGGATGACAGATCCACTAAAGTCCTCATATTATGCACATCGTCCAAAGCGTGGATTAACACGACATCCTTGATTAATGTAAATCCGATATCATAAACAAAAGACAAGTAATAATCCTTTATGTTTATTATTTATCAACAAACTCACCCATTATCCCTTCCTGCGGTAAACGGTTGTTTCAGTGGGATTATTTGAACCCAGAAATGGGTCGGAGATGTAACGACGTTGATCGAGCATTGGACGGAAATCAGCATTCTCGGAAACCACCTTCAGTTTTCTCCAAACTCTCGGTGCACTGAAATGAATAATTCCATCAAAGAACTATAGTAATGACACCAAAAGCCTTGGGGCTAATTAGAAGCAGAATTAATTATCGGCTGCTAGAACACAAGGCTGAATCCAGATCAGCGGGTTAGTTAGATTAAAAAACAATAAACCTTCTACGCTGAACGAGATTTGAGGTTCTAACGGCAGAGATATCAATGATGGTTCTACTGATTCTGAAACCGTGCGTGTTGTCTTACGCAAAGTTAATGGGTCTACTGGCCTAGCGTAAGAAGAAACTAGTCGGACACAGCCAAATAAAGATAAACAATTTATTGCTAAAAAAAAAACTGACCGACAGTGCATATATTACTTGGTTACTCACCAATCCGACTGCTACATTGTATTCCAGAAGTACCAAAGTCGAATTCTGAACAGTCCGCGGACTAACGTGAGGATTTTCTAGGGGTTTCCATAGTCTCTCTGGACGATAAAATTAACACGACGAAGCACAGTACTTTTCGATAAACCACGACGCTTTCATCTACTCAAGAAATTCCATACGTTTATAAAATCTTAAGGTTCATTACCGTGTCCACAAAATCTCGCTGCTGATCCCTATTCTCAGCCGGATTACATCTTACAAACATTTCTTCAAAATCTACTTTTAATATCGTACTATGATAAACGCTTAGGTCTTTCAAATCGTCTTTTCTCTTCAGGTTTTCCGATCAAACGTTTGAACGCATTCATCATCTTCACCATGATATCCGGACTAATGTTCGAATACGTTGAATCGGGACATGCTAGTCTCCTTCCAAATCCTAACATACTAACCTTTCATTTCCATATCCCCACTTCTCAAGACGATATATCTATAATCGATGCAGATTAAACAGCATAACCTAACACTCGACCAATTCATCGCTTAGTTACGTACATCATCTCTTAATTACTTGGGTAGAAAGGTAGTTACTAAATTGAAAATCGCTGTTTTCTGGGTTGTCGCGCCGTGTAATCTGGCAGACGTTTACCTACGTTTCAGGCAGCAAGAACCTCTGAAACATTCATAAACTTCTGCCAAACTGCACGGCACAGCAACCCAGAAGACATCCATCTTCATACTCACCTCCGTGAGAACAAAAAATCTCACAGTTACTAAATTAGTTCAAAAAACTCCATAGCTACTTTTTTTCGATCGCCCATCTGGCCTTATTTTTCGAGGAGCAAGATTCTTTAAAATTTAACAACGACTGCAATTTCACAAAACATGAAATATAAACACATTCATTGATGATGCGAATAAAGAAATTTAAATTACTCAAGATATTTTTTTTTCTAGTTGGAAAGACAGGAAAATTAAGTAGGCTACGAGTATATTTGGGGTTGTTAATTAATTAATTAAATCACTATTTAACTGATACAACATTTCAGTGCATAACGCATCGTATGGTTTTGAATAAAGGGAACCTATTAGGTTCAAAACAACGAACGGGTTAAATATAACGTGCAATTCATAATCAGGAAAGGCACGAAATCCTGTTGCTTACACTTCTTTGAGCCCACATCCTTATGTATCCTACCGAAGAGAGAAAACACTTTGCACTACTCAAGCAGCCCTTGTGATCACTGCACCAACTCATCACAGCACTGAATATTCTGCTCTGGTCCAGCCGCTAAAATCCACGCAATCTGCCATGCGCAGCGACTTACCCCCGCCAACCCCTGAATACTTGACCTAAAAACCACAACCATCAAGATTCATGGCATCCCATCCCATACCACCTGTGCGTGCGTGCTTCAGCATGAACAGACGAGACACGTAGCGCCATGATATTGTGATGTATTTTTATATGACACTTGTTAACACTTGATACCTACACAAACCCCCTGAGTGCGTCACACGAGATAAAATATTCCGATTTGGAACATAAATGTAGACTAGTTCGTACTTTTCCGTAAAAACGAATCTTTTATTCTCAGGAACATCCACCTTTTTTCGTGAATCGTCCACCTCGCGAACTCACTGGGGGCAATCCTTTGAACATGCCCATTAAAAGGACTAACTTGATAAATTACGGTGCGAAAAGAAATGTCGGTTTCTTCAACCACAGAAAATACAGAAGTTGACAAGAACAAAGCAAAGCCTCTGTTGATAAACCTTACTCACGCCCATAAATGTATCTTATTTTATTTTGTTGATTATGTAGCGTCGAATATAATAATATGAATAACAAACAGAAATCTGTGAAGGAAATTCAAGGACGAGGTCATGTACTAATTTGAGGTATTATGACGCCATTTGCCTAAAGAAACCGCTGTCAATACAGCCAGCCGGTCTCTGGGCTGAGATTTAAACAAGGCACGTCACAAAATCGAATCAGGAGTGTAAACCACTTTGCTACAAATTTCAGCAACTTATCTTTAGAACATTCGGTAAGTACAAATACACTACCATAAAGGACAACTAATATTTTTAATATAATGCGTATTTCAAAGTTTAAATGTTGTATTGTGCTTCTGAAATGCTATTACAATTTCAAACAAAACAATTTACGACATTAGAGCATAGCGTAAAAATCCTAGCGCATTTACCAGAATTCGAGCTTCGACCTCTGCGTGACATCAATGACGTCAGAGCAGGCAACCTTCGTGTGAGCGACGAGTTTGACTGGGTCACGACGACGGAATCCTTCGGGATACCTTTCATAATTGCACCACTGAATAGGGATTCCCTATATTTTGTCCTGTTGATTTGCAGGAACAAAAACTGGGTCTCTCACCTAAGGGGAAAAACGGACAGGAATTTTTGAGAGCAGGGTGCAAAGAAGAATATTTGGCTGGAACAGAAATAAAGTGGCAGGATATAGGCCAAAAATGCATAACGAGGGGCGGAGCGGCTCCACTTCACAAAATATTAGGAGGATGAGATCAGTGGGGCATGTAGAGCGGATGGGGAGACGAGATTTTCATGAAATTTAGTAGCTTAGCGTGGTAGATTTAGAGACTTCCATTTCATAATGTTAGGGAAAAACTAGACTTTATGGAAAATTCCATATGGTAACAATATTTTACATTTTGTCAGTATATTAAATGAGATGTGATGAAGAGTGCCCCTAGTAACGTAGTAAGAGCATTCCTATGTATCAATTACTCCTCCGTATGGCATGGACGGTTGGACACACTGTGACATTTCACCGCTAGAAGTCAGAGATATTGAGACGGCTGACAGTTCCATTTAAAACATTAATGGCGCACCATTTTGCTTTTAGTTGATTACTTTGGTAAAGTTCAAGGACTGGTAGAAACTGAAACAAATCAAAAGTATATTCATGACAAATTTCAGAGCAGATTAAATTATGGAATAGCTTATGAAATTTGAGGTTCTCAATGAGGGAAAGATGTCGATTTTGATCATACGGGCTGTAACACCGTGTAACGTAGAAATGAAGACGCCAATAGTGATGTTATATGCAGAGTTCAGATTCAAGGGTTCATCAGCGATTATGAGACGCGTGTCACAGTGACTGGAAATGATTAAAAGCTGAATGTAAATAATAAAAACGAGATTGGATCTTTATTGGTGGAGTTGCATTGGGTTCGAAGGTGTTCATCACTTTTCGGAGTAAATGACATATCAAGACACAATTATCTGTCACACGCGGGTGACTGACACCATTTGAAACCACAAGAGTGATTTCTTTCGATCGTCTTAAATTATTATTTTAATTGTCCGAGTTAGTATGACGTTTGTATAAATTATGGTAACATTATTTCCATGCCTTTATATTTTAAATTTGAACTTAAGGGACGGAAATTAAAGCCGAGAATAATTCAAACTTCCGTGTGACATACGAGAAATATGTGAACTGTCATTTCAAAACTAACCAAATGACAGTCTGAAATTAACTAAGGCGAAATGTCTCTCAGCCCATGTATATTTAATCTCTGAGACTTCGGCTCATCAATACTACATCTCGTTTTGCTTTCTGATTGGTTAGCTTGTACGCGAGCTAATCGATCTGGTTAGGTTTTAGAAAAATACATTCCTACTGTTTTGTCCAATTTAAAATCAAACGCCATGGCCGTTCCAGTTCCACAAGGACGATTCGCCCAAGTACACTTAATGGTCTGATGGAAACTGAAACGTTATCCCTTGTTTGAGTACGACAAATTGCTTTTGGCTGTCAACTGGAGGTATTCATGTTTCCACCAAGCGTAAAGTTTATGTTCCTTGCTGGATCGTAACGAAATGCGGACTTATCACTAGAAGCTACAAATTCTAATAAGTCATAAATATTATTAATTTTGTAATTCTACTTAAGGAAGCGCACGTCGCTATCTTCGAGAATTAATTAATTAATTAATTAAAAGCAAAAACAGCTGCACCTTCATGGGGGTTACAAGATCGGTACTGAACCCATGACTAGTTACAAAGCTTTTCTCGTGAGTAACAAACAGTGCCTTAAATCAGACCATTACCACTTCTTTTCACATCATTCCTAATTCATTATTCACTAGTTCCTTGTTTGAAACTGTACAATCCGAGCTATTGAATACGTCCTCAAATAAATAATAAACAGATAAGACTCCACCATTTTGGTTTACCATCCCTGAGTACGGGTTTTACCTTCACTAATCGACAGAGCCAGCTCTTTGCCTCGGCTTTTAATCCACTAAAACAGAGGCCAGGTCTCTTTGGCACCTTTTCGCTTCAGGGTTACTGCCAATTTCCGTGGTCAGTGAACGAACGTTTTCCCCAACATCGCACCTACACAGACCACAGATCGATTCCTGATGATTCTACCCAATTTCCGTAAAGGTTAATTTTAGAGTACACTTATCCTATTTCTGTAACCTCATGCCAGGCGGCGCTAGCGACACTTTCGTTTTGAACACTGAGTGGCAGGCTCTTATGCGTTTTTTCCACGAACTTTATAAAATGATGACAATGGCTAGCCAGAATCTGTGAGCTGAGGCTTGTCACGATGGGTGAACTCCGAAACTAATGAACGGATTAAAACGACATGG